TGTGACCAAAATCAGAAGCTCAAGACTGTACAGAGCAAGAGATCTGGCATATAGTTAGTCTTGGAGACCCTGTATGAGCAGCTATATGATGTTCGTTTGCTTTTAAACTATGTCAATAAGCCAGAGATTTGGGATACCTGCGATGGGTTTGCTACAATATACCATCTTATCCTATGCACTCATAAAGACATTACTCCTTTATTAATACACTAGACCGCTGCGCGCTGAGCATTCTTCCAGACCCATTCCCAGAGGTTGGTGCCTAGAGTAAAGGACATCTACTTGATTACCACTACAGTGACAATGAAAGGATCTGAAGGACACTGATTATGTTAACACTGATGCTTGACTAGCAATATGTATTACCATGGCCTGGACCATATTTGTCTCCAGAGTCGAGACACCCAGAGTGCCTGGGTATCAGCACTTGTCAGATCTAGAGTTGGTAGCCATGGTGCAAAAGTCCAGACCAGGGTGGTAATTCATATATCCCCAGTATGGGTCGCGCCATAGGTTTGTGACAAACCTCGTGGTCCCCGGAACATACCAGCCACACCTGTTTGTGATACTCTGGAGGCTCCTAGTGAGACGATCAGCGCTGGCCTCCGCTTGTGCATTAACTTTATTGCAGGCGAATGCCACCACGCTGCCGCTGATCGAATACCACGCCAGATTCGGTCCTATCTGAACCGTTCGCGAGCCGAACTGGTTCTTCAGGGCCTGCACCGCCGCGTCGCAGTCACCATGATTCCTACATTGAAGCACTTAGAATAGCTGAAAGTACGGGATAGACTTGGCCACTTACATGGTCACACCACAGCCGCACCACCAAGCACTGAAACTAGGTTCTGGTCCCGTTGCCATCTCGACATGGGCTGCTTCGGAGTGTTCGGAGTCTGTCACCGAGACGACGTCCTCTGGGAGGAGAGGCTCGTGGACTTCGACACCGTTCTCATCGATATAGGCCTTATAAACCCCGTCCGTCAGTCCCTCGGGAATCTTGAAGGAGGTGGCCAGCTTTGCAGAAGCGGCAAGGGCAAGAAGGACAAGCTGAGTTGCGCGCATTTTGGATGGATTTCAGAATATTGAACTTTAGATAACTCACAGGGCACTGGATAGAGGGATGCTCTCGAGTAGTTGTCTAGATAGAACTTCTTTGCGTATGGAAGAGAGCCTTCTTATACCCCAGCCCATTGACTGCCATTGACTGCCACCGAGTGCGTCGGCAAACTCCTGGAGCCTTGGACAAGACTAGCAATATCCTATTTAGGTAACTACCAGAGGACAAGGTAAGCGACTGGTCCAATTCTCCCAGTGTCTCACGATAGTACAAGATGGCACAATGAACCTGCAGTAGACTGCGAGATATATTAGGTAGGATGTAACGCTAACCGCTACACTACCAGCCTTTCTATCCCTTAATATCTTGGAAATCTTAGGATCACGTACGCCACTGAGGAGACACAATATTCCAAGAGCTAGCGGTGCCCGAACGGACGGTCGAGGAAGGCTAATCTGGAATAATTCATGGAGGGAAAGAGACTATGCATATCCCGTCATATTGGACTATGGCCATGTGCCAGATGGGAGGAGAGTAGATCTACAAGGATCAGTATACATTAGAACTTGAATTCAAGTTTCAACAAGACGAGTCCGTCGGACAATGCGGTAGACTTTCCTATCATATTCGGCTTAAGAGACCCGAAAGGTACCAACCATAAGCACAATCTCAATTTACTTTTATATTGAGTTTATATTAAGGCTCCTTAGATGAAGGCACATAGGATGAACAATTACAATTGTATCTTAAATACCTCAAATGCTTGAGTGTAGGGAGCTATGATTGGGCCACATTGGACCTGCTAGACTTCACAAAGACCCCCAAGGCCGTACTAAGGCAGATAAGGTAACTCGACGATTAACCCCAGTGGAGAGTCATGAAACTATGGCGTCGCTAGGAAGGCTAGGCCGCTAGGGAGCGCTGTTAGCGCCAATACAGTCCCATAGGCGAGACACCATTTCCCTTCTACACGTGCGGCGACTTCATAAATTTCACACCTCCAACATTTTCCGGTGCAGTCAGAACATGGCAAGCAAACGATTCCATGTCCTGGGCCTCCTGGTCACTGGACACTGGACAAAGTTGGTGTCCCTTTTTCAAAGTCGGCCGGCCGTTTCCGAGGTTAACCATGCTTGCAGCACTAACTGCGACAGGCGCAGTAGCAGCAGGCAGTAGTCTCCCTAATCCTTGATTAGCGCTGGCTGAGCGTATCCTTCCAGCCAATTACTTATCCTCGAAGCGCATGGGTTGAATGCAGGCATTACATGATCGTTGCGTACCTGCTTCATACTCCGCAGTGATGACTTGGGGAAAGAGAAGGGGAATATCTTCATTTGCATCGAATTCAATCCCCTCGTAGATACCACGACGCCATGCCATAGTGAATCAACTGGGGATATCTTAACCCTAATCTTATGCGGAAAGTCAATCAATCCCTTTGCCAATCGAAAATCATCCACTCGGGGGATGTGACTTGGCCTCCATACCTACATGGATGGTTGACTAGCTTGGGAGTTGGGACTGACTCGATTGTGTCCAAAAATGTTCGAGATTCATGCCTGGCGACATGGGTTATGACAGGGGGAGTTGGGACAGAGTCAGTCCGATAAGGCACTGTCGCACTGAATTACCGGGGCCACCATGTTGTGATCATTCTCCCAAGCCACCTCTATGAGTGACCTACGGCTGGATTAGACTATGGTAAGGCTTGGTCAATGAGCTGTTTAGTGATATAGAGGCCATAGGCATAGGCCTATAGAATAATATAGGTAGTGTAGTCCGTAAGCTGGGCTAAGGCCTTAGCAAATACACGCATCCTAGATGCTTCCTCTAGAGACTCGTCTAAGCCTTCATCCCAAACAAGGCAGCCGCCTTCATAACACGGGCCCCATACACTTTCTCCATGAACCTCAAATGGTCACTCTGATCCGAATGCAAAGCAGCGGTACAGTCCTCAACAACCGTGACCCACAACCCCTTTTGGAAGGCCGTCCGAGCCGTGGCATCAACACAGACATCACTGTACAACCCCGCCAGCATCAGATGCTCGAACCCCTGTTTGGCGATGTACTCGGAGAACTCGGGAACCAGGAAAGGATCGAACAAGGCATTCTTATTAAAGACCTGCTCGCCAGGCTCAGGGGTGACGCCCGGGCCGAGCTCCGCTCCCCAGGTGCCCTCGACGCATCTCTCCGTTTTCCCTAGGAGTGAATTCCGGTACTTCCAGCTGGGGCCTTGGAAGCTGGTGTTCCCCAGGAAGCGAACAAAGATGACTTGGCTTCCCCTGCTGCGGGCACATTGTATGAGCCGTGGAATCGTGTTGGAGAGTTCCGACACAGCCGGACTGGGTGCGTTTGAGAGGAAGTCGTTCTGGTAGTCCACTAGTACGACGGCGGTCTTTTTCCCTATCCAGGCGTTGGTTGGCTGGGAGGCTGCGTCTTCGCGGATAGGAGGAGTCTCGGGAGCCATAGGATCATTAATTGCATACAGGAAATGCTCAACGACCGCATCCGTGCTGCACGAGCCGCCCTGGTCAGGAGTGGTCAGCCGTCTCATGAGAAGACTTTCAATAGCCTTTTCCGTGTGGCGTTGAAACCCCGCGCCAGGGCATCCTCCATGCCGTTCCAGAATGGCAGCCGCGGCGCGGATGGTAGCAAAAGGATTGACGAGGCCCTGGCCGGCGATGGCGTCCGCAGAGCCATGCACCGTCTGGTACTCGCTGAGGTGATGCAGGCCGGGGCTCAAGTACACATTCTCCGCGTACATAGTTTCGATGGTGGCGTTGCCGAACCATTTCAGGAAAACGGGCTGGATGATGTCGGCGTATTCGTTGCCCGCAATGATGATCCGGCGGCCGTGGACACCCGAGGCCATTAGATTCCTGTTCATGGTGTCCGGCTGGATGAAGTCGACATCGATGCCAAAGCGGGAGGTCCAGTGTGGTGCCCAAGCTTGGAAGACTCCGTCGAAGAGGTGGAACTTGTAGACCAGCGTGACGGATTTGGGGACATTGTGCTCGCCCCACTCCTCCGCGGCTCTTTGCAGAGCATATGCCAGGATTTGGTCAAAGGTGGAGCGCCTGAAGGGGCTAGTTCGTGTGATGCTGTGGCTGTCGTCGTGATATTCATTGACACCAGCGTAGAACCCCTGAGCTTCGTCACGAACGAAGAGCAGGGCATTCGAGTTGCCCAGGTCAAAGTGCTCAATTTTGACGGCATTCAGTTGATCCCGGACAAGGTAGAGAGACTGCGCGTGGATAGCCGTGCGAAATATTGCAGCAATACCGTTGGCTGCAGCTGTCTCGCAAAAATTACGGTAGTCTTCTGCATCTTGACTCGTTTCGTCCGCGATGTGTTTGACCAGGTCTTTCTCGACTCCGGAAACAGTGAGCGTATGGTACGAATGGTATATCCGGGATGCTTCAATGAATTCAACATTTAGAGGGTGCTTGCTTGCTAGCGCTTGGATAACCTTCTTGAAGACCGCAATAAGCTCCTGGCCTGTGCCATGACCAATGGCTAGCCCAAGTCGTAGGTTCTTGATCGTCATGATGAGAGTGTAGTCAAGTGAACTTTGGGTGTATACATCTAGCAAGCTGAAGTAAGGTGGTAATATTTATATAGCACTTCAAGTTTGCTTCAGGACAACCAGGTTAATACTACATGCATTAGCTCACTCTGCCCACATACAAATGCAATCTCTTCGTTTATTATTGCCCAATGTGTTTACAGTCGTGGCGTTGTGAATGTGTGCTGAAGTTTATCTGTCATAGATCATAGGAGCTGAACATCTTCAGCTGGGTTAATCATACTTTAGTTAGCCGTATTAGACTAAGGTTTCACTAGACCCACGGGATATGTATATAATGGCATGATACGAGGTGGTTCCTTTTGCTGTGAAGATAGAATACCCCCAAGCGTTTTCCTATATACCAAACAACATGACCAAAATCGACAACAGCACCATCAACTCCGGGTTCAACGTGGGAAACGAGCTCGAATACATGCTAGACCGAAGCTACACCGCGGCATCCAGACTAAACTATCAATTCTACCTCTGGAAAGACACCCTCCAATTCAACCTCCACCCGTCGATCCAGCTGCCAAAGAGTGATTCCACTCCCATCCGGATTGCGGACCTTGCCACGGGCACAGGCATCTGGCTCCTGGACCTCCTCCGCGATCCTGCAGTGACGCAGCACACGTCAATCCGGCTGGATGGCTTCGACATCGACCTGGCAAACGCCCCTCCACGCGAATGGCTCCCGCCACCAGTCACGCTCCGCCAGCTGAACCTCTTCGATAACATCCCCCGCGACCTCCGCGGCAAATACGACGTGGTGCACCTCCGCCTGCTAGTCCTCGTCGTGCAGAACAGTGACCCCCTCCCGATTATCCACAAGGCGCACCAGATGCTCAAGCCCGGCGGCTACATCCAGTGGGACGACCTGAACTACCCGGACAGCGAGATAGTCAAAGGCAATAATAGCATGGGTGACGTGGCCACTCCGGCGCACGACGCCTTTCTTCGATTCGCACAGTCAAATGGCCGCAATGACTGGGTTCTAGATCTCCCGCATCATTTGATGTCGCGCCATGGGGGGTTTGAGGATGCGCATTTAGACAACTATACAGACCGGCCGGAGCTGCGCAAGGCGAATGGGGACCAGTACATTCTGGTCATGGAGGAGTTTTCAGCTCGCCTCAAATGCGTCGGGAAAGCCGAGGATGCACGTAATATTGATCTGATGATTAGGGGGTTGGCGGAGGAGGCGAGATTGGGGGTTGGGTTGTCGATGCCGAGGGCTGTGTGTGTTGCCCGGAAGAAGTAGACTCCGTCAATGTCATACAGTGCTACATTATTGGCCAGGGAATGATATCCAGACGTAGATGAGAAGGATGCGCATAATTGTGACTAAGAATGCATTCTGTATCAGTGGTTAGATATGATTAGCTGCTGTTATTGTACTACTGCATGCAGGAGAAGGGTAGGACACGACAGAATAGGATCTATCATAAACGATGATGTGACAAATCTAATCATGAAGGAACTGGTCTGTCTCTACTATTTCCTCCCTTGAACATGGCAATGATGGCATCTCTTTCACCTCACCAATGTCCATTTAAACCCCTCGACGCGGTCAATCGCTGTAGAATCCGTCGCAATACGGCCAACAGCTGAAGATGTCCATCGACACATCTGTTTGGTACAAAAATGACATTGGGCCCCGGCTCAGCGCATCAATGCAACAGATCTTGGAAGGATGGAGCAACATTCCCAACAATGAGCTGCAGCGTCATCTCCATGCAGTGGTGAGTTGTTCCCATCGGTGGCGGCGATAAAACTGAATCTGAAGCTGAAACCTCCCCTCAGCGCGACAAAGCATGGCAATACGGTGAATATCCCTGTATTGGCCAGTGGATGTTTCTCATGCCGGGGATCGCCGCGTTCCCTCAATTCCAGCAAGTGGTCGAGTTCGCGCGTCGGGGAGCTACCGTGCTGGATCTGGGGTGCGGCCTCGGCCAGAACCTTCGACTGCTGGCAGCTTCTGGGACTCCTTCCAATCGAATGTGGGCGCTTGATCTGAGTCCGCAGTTGTGGCGTTTGGGGTACGAGCTCTATCGAGATCGCGATCGATTGTCCGCAACGTTTATTCCGGGCAATTTTCTACACGAGGATGACTGTCTCGGTCTACAGGAGCTGTACGGCGAGGTGGATATCATGATTTCTGGGCAGTTCCTTCATCTCTTCTCTTGGGAGGGGCAGAAACAGGCAGGCAGGCGCATCATGGCCCTGTCCAAGCTTGGGACAGTCGTGATTGGATATCAGCAGTCACGGCGCCGAGCCCGGGAGTATATTCGGCCATGGGGGATGATGTTCTTCCACAACCTCGAGAGTTTCCTGCAGATGTGGCGAGAAATTTCCCAAGAGACGAACAGTGAGTGGAAGGTCGAAGTAACGGAGGTGGACTTGAAGGAATGGGGGATGGAAGCCGAGGACACTGAATGGATGCCAGCAGATCACCAGGGGCTTAACTTCTTTCTCACTCGAGTGCATTAGACTTTATCTTGTCAGTCGTGGCGATGCATAAGTGCAATAGTGGCAAGAGGCTGCTCTGAAGGATGTCACTAAAGGGGCGCAGTCAGCCAGCCCATGATTATTTTCCAGCTAATCATAGTACAGAAGGAGCGGGGTTGGTACATTCACTTCTTGCAGTGTAAATAGTTACTAGTCACTTCCATACAAGTCTCTAGCCTCATTAAGAAGACGACGGTAACTATGGCTATTTCTGTGTAATAGCCGGAACAGCCTAGGGTGACCCATGCAGCCATGCTCAGAACTCCAAGGCTGGTCCAGGTTGCAGACGCTTGGCCAAGCGCTATTACGGCTTGCTCTTTATAGATATAAATTACCACCCTGGTCTGTGTCCACGCCAATCTCACGATCTGCGGTTCGGGCCTTGTGGATGAGATGTCGAGGTGGCTGGGTCGATTGGATTGTGTCGAAGGCTTAGTCGATGGAGTTGTCCGGGTGATATCAAGAGGAAGGGGAGACTAGCTTTTGGAATGCTGCTTTACCTCTAGCCAGGTCCCTGGTTTCATCCAGACGGGGTGGTTTAGGGCTACCTTCTTAACAATCTCGTGCCCGATGCCGGTGTTGCCGCGGGGTTGGGCCCCATGGGAGGTCTCCGGGGGCAACAATGGCCGCTCTGGTCTCAATCGGATCGAACCATTGAGAACTAGGGCATGTCTTGATGATGCTCCGAGTACCTCGAGGATACGGAGATAACAGTATCGGACACCGACACTTGACGTGAAGTAATTGCCCTTAATTAACACTAAGTTACTCCAGGGGAGACACGTCAAAGTACTTCCTAGTAAGCCTAGCAATATATCAATCTGCTTCTCGTTGCAAAGTCACACATCCGGCTGACTTCTGGTATTCATTTTCCCTAGCAATATGATCATCCTGTGAGTCTGATATGCTTCGACTACTCGATTCTTTGTCTCCCTTAATGACAACAACAGTCCACTTGGCACTATAACAGCGTAAAGGCATTATACAAGTGTGATTACGAGCTGTTGGGTCCACAGACACATCTCGCCTCTCAAATCATCGTGCATCCCGCAGCGAGGGCGTTGGTGATGCCGCGGACGAGAGTACGACCGTCGCGTTCATCTGCATCAGCTGCATTTCTCCTCAATAAGAGGGGGAATCGCCTTGGCCCGCGCTGACAACAGTGCCGGCGACCTCCCGACAGAGCCCTGAGGTCTGCAGGCCGTGAACAGGACCCAGCTTTGTCGTCCATCTGTTCCCTGCATCTGACACATCGAGACCTCGTCGACACGGCTCTCGAAGAGCTCGGCGAAGCGAAGCAGCAGCCAGTAACGCTCGAGCAGATTTGTTCCCAGCGCAGGAAGGCCGCAGCGGCCGAGTGGACGGCCTGCACGGCCAGCTCTGGTGTGACGGTCCAGCCGTCGTGAAGGATGTCCTTGTCCGGGCTGAAACCCGTCCGTCGTGGCTGCTCGTCGTTCGGGTCCATCGTGCTATACCATATGCCAATAAAGCTAATCGGCCGGAAGCAAGTACTAAGAAGACAAAGTTATGAGTAAGAAATGCATGCATAATTTCTAATTCTTATTCTTATCTTATTAATCTTCTTGACTACGGGGTAATTAGCGGCTAATTCCTGTGGTTGTTTCACGCCGGATTTAAGCCTGGATTTATGTCTATATTCCGACACCTGCGCTGCACTTAAGCAGCACCTCAGCTTGCCCTCATTACAAGGCATCTACTCTGTTGCGCAAACACATTTCCTAGCTAATCTTCGTACTATCATCATGACTCAACTCCTAGTCGTCTTCGGCGCCACAGGCCAACAGGGCAGCTCGGTCATCAACCACGTCCTGTCCGACCCCGTTCTCTCCAGCAAATATTTCCTCCGCGGCGTCACCCGAGATGTCACCAAACCCGCCGCGCAGGATCTCCAAAAGAAAGGCGTGGAGGTCGTCCCAGGCAACCTCGACGACCCGGCATCCATCCACGCCGCCCTGCGCGGCGCACACACCGTCTTCGCCATGACACGCACAGTCTACGACGAGCAGGCCCAAGCCCGCGACGAACGACAAGGCAAAACCATCGCCGACGCGGCCATAGCCAGCGGCGCACAGTACCTAATCTGGAGTTCGTCGGTACACGCCGGCAACACCTCCGGCGGGAAGTATCCCGTCCCGGCGTACGACGCCCACTACAACGTCGAGCAGTATATCCGCGGCCTCCCCATCCGGAGTGCGTTTGTGGCGCCGGGGACCTTCATGCAGAATCTGCGCGGCATGATGTGGCCCCGGCCGCGCGAGGACGGGTCGTACGTCATCGCCAACATCCACAGTCCGCAGGCGCGGTTCCCCTGGCTGGATGTCGAGGCGGATATGGGCAAGTTTGTGGGTGTTGTTCTTGCGGAGCCGGAGAAGTATCAGGGGAAGGTTCTGGCTGCGTCATCGTGCATTCATTCCTTTGAGGAGGTGGTGCGGATTCTGAGTGCGGTCTCTGGTAAGACGATGAAGTATGTGGAGATGCCCGAGGCGAAGTTCCGAGAGTTCTGTCCTCCTGCTGGTGCGGATGCTATTGTGAATATGTTTTGGTTTATTCAGGAGTTTGGGTATTATGGTGCGGAGACTGAAAAGGTGGTGGAGTGGTCGGTCCAGCAGGTCAATATGGAGGACTTTGCCAAAACTATTCAGTTTGCGTAGTGCGAGGACATGGCCAAATACTCATTATTGCTATTCTTCCTTGAGATCGTACACGTATCTGCTAGTAGGATGACAGACGCGGGTAATCTACACATCGTACATAGCAATAGCCACTGTTATCCAGTTCTTCTCATGTAATTGACCGGTTAACTATATTCCTTGTCTTGAAACACTTGGCCATCTGCTCATATACTTTGGCTCTTCCCAGATCCTCCTCCACCGTCGACGCATCCCATAACTGATTCTCCACCTCGTGCTACCAGGTGCAGGGGAGTACTGCCATATATGCTTGTTCTTGCATTGATATCAGCGCCTGCTTCCAGCAGGGCCTCCATCCTGCTACGAACACCTGACCAAGCAGCACGGTGAATTGGATAGACGAGTCCCCACTTGTCTGGTCTTGGATTAAAGAACCACTCGTGTAGCCGCTCGCCTATCCGTCCACTGGATGAGAAGCAGCGCGAATCAGCAGCCGCGTTGACATCGGCGCCATACTGGATCAGATAGCGGACCAATGTAGAATCCACTGCGCCTTGCTCTGAAATCGCGGCATAATGTAGAGCCGTGTGGTTTCCAGGATTCGATCCGATGTTTGGGTCAGCGCCGTGCTCGAGAAGGTACTTGGTCATAGTTATCTGACAGGCAAAAATGGCAGATTGCAATGGGGTCTAGCCATGGCTACCAATGTCATTCACAGTCAAGCAACTATGATCTAATATCCATTGAACAGTATCCACACGACCGCCTTCTGCTGCGCGGTGCAGAATAGATCCATTGTCTTGCTCCGAGCTTGGACATCCACGCCAGCTTCTACTAGCATCTGTACCACAGCTAGCGAACTACGGTATGCGGCTTCATGCAGCACGGTCTCTCCATAGGGATTACGGAGCTGGATATCCGTAGAGCCAGCAAGTAGCTCCCTGACAGCAGGAAGGTTATCTGCCTGAACAGCGTACCATAGTGGGCTCTCCCTGGTTGAAGTAAGAGCATTGATATCTGCCCCTGCGGCAATCAAGTATTTCAACAACGCTGTTTCATCCTCCCTCTTTTCCTCAACCCATTCACTCCTTTCCCCGGCCGCAAAATGCAACGGCGTCTCTGCATCCATGTTCACAGCATGAATATTCGCCTCTTCGCGAACCAGCACCTGCACACACACTAGGCTGCGGCTCATTGCTGCAAAATGGATCGGCGTTTCCTGCGCAGCTGCCCAGTCAGAAAAGCTATACGCTCTCTGCCTATAAATTGGATAATCGTTTCGAGGATCTGTGGATCTCCCTTCAGTGCTGCGCAATGTAGGGCATCTCTCCCCATATCATCAGCCCTGTCATGGACATCATGCTGGAGAAGAAGCGTGGGGATTTCGTGTCTGCCGTACAGGATGGCCTCGTGCAGTGGGGTACAGTCTAAGCTGTGGCCATCTGGGGAGACTCCAGTATCTAGAAGATGGGTAACTGTAGCAATGTCGTTGCGCTGGATTGCTTCGACTAGTGCGCGTTCTTCTTCTAAGCCTCCGGGTCCGACTGAAGACATTAGACCAAGGGAAAGGAAGGTAAATTGGAGAAAACAGAACGGATAACCATCAGTTAGTTAAAGAAATCTGATGTCCGCGATGTACGCCTAGTCTAGGTTACATTCCATAGTCATGGTGCATAGATACCTCGGTAACTGATTAGTTTCCCAGTTTGCGCAGGAAAGTAGCCCTTAGGCTCTGATGAAATATTTAGATAGTCACATTAATAGTAGATCTTAGTTCCGAAGACTATTTCATCATAAGTTCATAACAAGTTGTCGATCCTGACTGCTCCAGGAATGTATCCACCGTGAGAACTCTAAAAACTCCGCGTTCTTTTCGTCTGTTCATCTCCTGATCCTCTCTTCTCTCGCCATTGCCATTGATCACCATCGATAGAATAATGTCTTCAGAAACCCCCGGCAAGAAGTCCCTGCCGGCATGGCTCCATTTCAATTCCCACGACCTCAAAACCCTCTTCCGCTGTGCAGCCGCAGCATGGGTTGCCACCATCCTGATGTTCATCCATCCCACTCTGCGAACCATCGGAATAGCCACGTTTTTCGGATGGTGAGTTAATCATCTACAGACAAATTGATTGATCTGACTTGGTAGTCTGGTTCTCTTCATCAATCCCCCCTCCGGCATCCTCTTCATTTTTGTCCTGGGGACACTGACCCTGTTGATTGGCATGGCCCTGGCCTGGGCTTGGGGCGTCATCACCATGAAAGCCGCGCTGGCTGCTCGTCCTCAGACGGACACGCTGGCCCGTCTGCAGGCACTCGGACAGGAGGCAGCCAGACAGGCGAATGCCACCGGCCAGAGTGCGGCCAGCGTGCAGTCGCAGCTCGTCTACGACGGGTTCATGCTTGATGCGCGGGTTTCCGTCGTTTACTTTGTTATGATTTGCGTTTTTATCTACTTTTTGGTAAGTTCCCCCTCTTTTTGATTAATAAGGTGACTGACATGAACAGGCCCGGCTGCGCGCCGCAAACCCCAAGTTCACGCTCGTCCAGATCTTCGGGACCATCATTTCGGATCTGTTTCTGACGATAGGCCCGCTTCTGCCTTCGTTTCGGGGGACGCTGCCCAAGCTTTTGATTATCCCTGCGGCGATTGGCGCGGGACTGGGCCTTGTCGCCTCGTTGCTGCTCTTCCCGCAGTCGACGTCGCATGCGGTCCTGGCTGGTATGCAGGCACTTGTCGAGTTGGCCAAGCAGCCGCTCAGGTTGACGGCCGCTCGCACTGAGGAGCTGGATTTGAAGACGTTAATAGCGCTCAAGGGTCAGCTCATCGCTGGATACAAGGCCATGGAGCCGGCGATGGGGTTCCTGCCCCTGGATTTCTCGCGCGGCCGGTGGAATGCGGCCGATGTGAAGAGCCTGAGGCAGCCTGTGCGGCAGGTTCTTGTGAGCACGGTGCAGCTGCTGGATTATCATATCAACCGGCTGAGTGCGCGGGCTAATGTGGACCGCGTCCGGGCGATATCCAAGGCGGGGACGCCGGTGAGTACCTCGGATGGACCCCGTCAGGAGGACAAAGTGGAAGTCGGACAGCGGCAGATGCTGGAGAGCTTGGAGATGATTGAAGCGATGACCAGCCCCGAGTCGGAGGCGCTGCGGTCTGGCACGGATGCCATTCTGTGGGAATCCAGCGGAGAGATTCTGCAGGTGTGCGAGGAGGTGGCCGGCGTGGCGGTCGAGTGCATCCACGCGGTCAACTCGCGGCGCTGGCTGGGATCGCGGGCCCCGGATCGGTTGGACGAATGTCAGAAACTGCTGGAGAAACTGCGTGCGGCGCGGGCCTCGTTTGCCGAGGAGACCACCGAGAAGCTGATCGAGAAACACGGCGAGATTTTTGATGAAAGCGGAAGCCTCAAGCGCCTCGATACCATTGGCGGCACGTCCATCAGCAGCGTCATGGCCGGCCTGGCCTTTGAGGAGTTGGTCATCTCCGTCGCGGACGCTCTAGACCAGTTCCTGTCGCAGATTGTGGCTCTCCTCGAGGCCCGGCCAAAACCGCGTCTGTGGTTTCCCACCAGCATTGAATACGCCATTGGCTGGGTGCTGCGCCGGGACGCTCGCACTCCGGTCGCGGGACAATCGTCCGACCAGGACCCGGACGATCCAGCAGTCCAGACGGATGAGACGCAGCAACTCTTCCGGCGGATCAGCCGGGGATATCGCGTCAAGCAGCGGAGTGGTCTTGGCCGCGTGGTGCTGGGAACGTACCACTGGTTTATTAGCGCCGAGGGTCTTTTCGCCTTGCGCATGGTCGTCTTGACGATTGCCCTAGCAGTGCCTGCCGTCATTCCATCGAGTTCGGGATTCTACTACCGCGAAAAAGGCCTCTGGGGACTTATCATGGGGCAGACCACGCTGCTAGTGTACATGTCCGACTTTACCTTTTCGCTCATATGCCGGGCCGTTGGCACAGTGATCGGGGGCGTCGTAGGACTGGTCGCGTGGTATATCGGCTCCGGACATGGACCGGGCAATCCGTACGGACTGGCTGCCATCTCCGCCCCGATTATTGTGATCTTCATGTGGGGACGTCTCTTTCTCAGTCCTGCAATGCTGCAAGCGACCGTCATGAGCGCCGCAACCTTTTTCCTCGTCATCGGATACAGCTTCGCCGACACGTATGTCCCTCCCCTTTGCCATTCCGGCCCCTATCTATATATACTGACCGCCGCAGACAAATACCTCAATACGGCAATCCCGGCGTCGGCTACAACGTCTTCTGGCGCCGTCTGGTCCTGGTCTTTGTCGGTTTCGCCGCGGCACTGGTCGTCCAGAACTTCCCTCGCCCCCCCTCAGCAGCACGGCACATCTGCACCTCGCTGTCCAACACCCTCCGCCGACTGACAGACCACTACGCTCTTTTGCTCTCGTGCTGGGCGCGCCCCAACAACGACCCGCGCATGGCGGAGCTGCTATCTATCGAGGTCGCCGAGCGGCTCGCCGCGCTGAACGGCCCCATCGCCCTCCTCGGGCTGGAATTCTCCAGCTCCCGCTTCGACAGCGCCAGTCTACGGCAGGTCCAGTCCCTCTGCCAGACGCTCAACCAGAACCTGGGTCGGCTGCTGCTGCTGTCTGCAACGCTACCGCTCGAGCTGCAGGAGCGGCTGGCGCGGACGTCGGGGGTGCTGGAGCAGCGGTCCATCGCGGACGTCATGGCTGTGCTGGGGGTTGTGGCGCAGGCGATCAAGACGGGGGATCCGCTGCCGGAGGTGCTGCCGACGCCGTTGACGAAACGCTGCTATGAGTACTGGCGGGGGTCGCAGTTGACTGAGGTGATGCCCCTGCAGACTGACCTCATTAGGGAGAAGGCGTATCGGCGGTACTGTGTGGGGGTGATGGCGTATGTGAAGGTGTTGGCCGCGGTGGATGAGTTGGTGATGGTCGTCAAGGGGGTGTTGGGCGAGGCGCATATTGTCCAGCTGCCTCAGCCTTAGTCTAGCTGTATACTCTGTATATCTGTATATATCATGAAAATAAACTTACTCGTGTATATATCCAAGGCCTGGCGCTTACTGCATCCGTGAGCCGCCCTCATGTAGCACCGTACAATATGGACGTCAACTGGTCAACTGCTGCTCTAGCCTCAGGCATCGGTTAGTTCCCCCTCATCTGGATTCCTTGAATTTCCTCATCCTTTCCTGTCCTGACTCTTGACCTGCAGTCCTGACATCGATTTGCATCCATCGCTATCCACTTCATTCATTCAGGCTAGCATGTCTAATCGTCCGTGGCAGTGCACATACTGCTGCACCAGTTTCAGCCGCTCAAGAGCATCTCCGGAGACACCTTCGGTCACGTATAACTACCTTTCCAACTCGAACCACAAACGTAACTAATAGCAGCAGATGAAAATCTGAGGCCCTTTGGCTGTGCACTCTGTCGGCGATCGTTCACTCGAAAGTATGTTTTTGGTCATATGATGGAGCATTTCTAATGGACCCTGACAGAGACCTTCTGAAACGCCATGAGAGGACATGCAAAGCCCGAGAAGAGGTGGAGGATATCGTGAAGGCTCCTGCAAGCTTTCAGTCAGATCAGCTAGAGCATCCGAGTGAATGTGACCAAGCCGTTGTCTCGTCATGGTCAACCAGAGATGGAGACATCCCTGACCTTCCCAGCTCGGTGGACTTTGCCGCGCTGGACTTTTTATTTGCACCACCGCTAGCTTCGGACAGCATCACGGTGGCTGAGAGGCTGGAATATCTGGCCTACTTTACGAGCGGCAATGGTATGGCCACGTTTCTAGATCGCGAGACGCTCAAACAGCGACAGGAGCTCCTCAAGGGAGTTGACCGACACCCGCACGAAAGAATATACGAAGAATTGCATTGTGCAGACTTGCTGCCAGAAACAATCGACCCCTCACTTATCGACCTGTCATCCAGCGACGGAGATATCCTCATTCGCAAGGCCCGCGAGATTACTGAACATCTCCGCCGAACCATCACCACAAAGTCAGACAGAACCATCATCAAACTAGACTGGGCCCCTGCCGTCCAACAATCCTGCTCCGCCTTTTTCTCAGCTAGCAACATCCGCCGCTTCCTGGGATATTTCTGGTCATTGTGGTACCCCAGCTGTCCCATCGTGCACCGCCCGTCGTTCGATCCGGAGACGGCACGGACGGCTCTGCTGTGTGTTATGCTGATTATTGGAGCCTGTCTGTCGCCGCATGAGGAAGACAACGAAGCGGCCAAGATGTGGTTGGACAGCGTTGAAGAAATGATATTCGGCGATGAGTGTTTTATGGAGAGAGAGACGTCGGATACGTCGACGGGTCCACTACACAACAACGCCGAATGGATGAAGAAGCGCGTCGAATGTATCCAGGCTGCGTATCTGGTCTGCTCACTGCAGAAGAGGGAAGGCTCTGTGGAGGCGCAGGGGCGGATGAGGAGGTATCGTCATGCGACGCTGGTCATGGTGCGTATTCCATTTATCTGCGAATCTGGCTAATAGAACAGCTGGCGAGAGACATCGGGCTTGAATCGGCCACGCATCGCAGCTTGCGGCTGGAGAGCCCGTCCAAGTCGTGGTGGAGGCAGTTCGTCATTGAGGAGGAATCGATCCGGTACGTCTGTCTCAGCTTGGTCACACGCCACTAAGGCTAACTGTATAGGACTCTGACGTATGTATTCCTGATTGATGCCGCCATGGCGATCTTCCACCACACTCCGCCTCGGATGGTGGTTTCGGAGCTCAAGATGGACATGGCTTGTCCCGAGGCTTGTTTTCAGGCAGACACGGCTACAGAGTGCTTTTACGCACTGAGAGAGTGGGAAGGGTCTATTTTCTGGTCTGAGAGACTGTCCGTCGCTGGCGTCGTACGGAGGATATGCCAGGGAGAGCTGGGCGACCGCTCCGTTCTCGAGTTTTCAAAGATGGGAACGCTGAATCTGTTTACGACTGTACAAGGTATGTTGAGTATTCTACGTTGGAACATTGCTAATGATACAGCTCTGCATTCCATGACATTTTACCTGCAAAACTCCTTGGTCTTCGAGTCGACCCTCGCCCCGGTCCAAACTGGTTTGGAGAACTGGCGTCGAATATGGAACGCACGACAACCCGAGGACAAGGACATTTCCAACGAACCACAGACCATCTGGAAGAAGATCGGCTTTGTGCGGTATGCACCTGAATTCTGGCACTTGGCTCGAATCATCGTTGCCCGAATCGCCAGCCCTAGTGATGAACAATGTCCTCTGCCTATAGAGCGGAGACTTGCTCGCTTCGATCATACTGATATGAGGGATATTAATGGATTGATCATGGAGTACCGGCAACTGAACTTGGGAGTTACGCCGTGACTTGTTCACTCAACTGCGAGCTGCTAGTCTTTGTGTAACACGGACGGTGAAGTTGGTCGGCTTCACGAACCACCTGTTCTCCGTCTCCCAATTCGCACGCCCCGTACTGAAATCAAAGTCTCGGACGATCCGGGGGATGAGTTTCGACATTTCCAGAATGGAGATGTGCTTTCCGAGGCATGTCCTAGTCCCGAGGCCGAACTACAGTCGTCAGTATGTCATATACGGGAGAAGGAAAAGAGACCTACAGGCATGTACATCTCGTTCATGGCTTTGAGCTTTTCCGGATTACTCTCCGCCTCGATCCATCTCTCTGGACGAAATGTCGTCGCATCGGGGAAGACTTCCTCATCGTAATGGGCCACCCAGGTGTTAACCCCAACTACCGTACCAGCAGGGAAGAAATAGCCGTTGATCTCGGCCCCGCCGTCTGGAACCACCCTCCACAGCGGCAAGCCCGTGGCACTGTGCATGCGCAGCGCTTCCTTGATCACGGCCTGGAAATATGGCATCTCCTGACTCCCTGAAGGTGACTCTGTCACTGCACCTGCCCTGCGCGGTAAACTCGTCGATCTCGCGCCTGAGCTTCTCCATGGCCTCCGGACAACGCAGGAGGTTATACATGATGGCCGACAGACTGATGGCAGTGGTGTCCGAGCCCGCAATGACGTTCGACAGCCCCATCATGAAAATATGGTAATCCGTCACCTTCTCCGGATCCTTGTCCCGCGCCAGGATCATCTTCTCGACAAAGTTCTGCGTCTCCAGAGGACCGCGCTCGGCTTGCCCGAGGTCAGCCTTTACAGAGAGACCCCTGATCTTCTCCCGGACGAATCGCATGATATACGCTCTCCCCGCCGCACCGGACCAGCGGAACCGGCTCAGTGGCCCAAAAAGCCGCGGATGCCACTCGGGGTATATGCCCACAAGCGTACTTGTACGTTCATCAGCCGCTGCAGCGCGGCAATCGTCCCTTCGATATCCTCTCCGCGATCGAGGAAGCCTCCAAACGTCAGCCGCACGGTGGCGCAACAAGGCAAGCCGACTCACCAAACCGCTGCCCGTAAGTAATATCCCCAATGACATCAAACGCATAACACTGGAAACAATGGCCCAGGTTGAACTCCTCAGCACGGGCCGCGAACTCCCGCAGCCGCATGCAGAAGAGATCCGCGCACCGATCCACAAACGCCTCGTAATGCACCAGCGAGGTCATGGAGTAGAGGCTCGAGAAGCGCTTGCGCGTTTCCGCTACAATCGCTCAGCATTCCATCGGGGTCTGCTATGAAGTTGGGTGCTATGATACATACCATGCCTTTTAACGTCCCGATCAGGAAACAACGTCCACTGGTTCGGATCCGGGTGCTTCCACCCCTCGTACCAGGCGGACTTGGTGAACTTGCTCCCCGTCCCGTAGACGGTTTTTATGGCTGCGCGCCCGGAGATACTATAGTGGTCTGGGGCGATGCGGACGACGGGCCCGTAGCGCCTGTGCAGGGCGATATTGTCCTTCTCGAAGTGGCCGTTTCGCACGCGGTTGACGTACCAGAGTTTTGTGAGGCGGGTGAGGAAGGGGCCTGGGATTCGGGGGAGGGAGAGGGTGCGGAGGGTTGTGGAGAGAGTGCAGAGGAGGGGGTAGAGGATAAGGATGACGATGACGATGGGTATGAGGATGAGGTACATTTTGTTGACATTAATGATGAGATTGAGTCTTGGTATTGATGTCTGCTATAGATATATATGTAGTGGAGAATTGGAGATGATCCTCTCCGCCCCCGCCCCCACCGCCACTGTGGAGTTGTATGGGGCAGCTATAACGTATGACATAGAACCTAGGTACTATTCGGCGGTACTATTCGGCTGTACCCTGGATGAACAATATGTTTGAGGGATATTATGGATACACTTAGGCCGCAGTACCCGGGTCCTAATGACGTCCAAACTCTCGATGCTGATTCTGATGTACGGGGAAGGGGAGACGACCCCGAGACCAGTCTTATTGTCCACTGCTATCGTCTTTGGAGGTTATGGTCAGCTGTTTATATTGCTACGAGAACGTTAATTGAGATAGCAGAGAATTGAGGTCGTTCCGTATATGGCATTTCCATAACGGTATCGGTAGAGACGGCTTTAAATAAGGTCTGGATCCTGACCTACTCAGGATAAAAATGTGAGAAGAAATCATTCTTGTCAATCAACCCTTACTTTCGCATTCGTGGTGTTGATCAGTGATCAATGACATGGTCATCGAATCTCAGTATTGCCTAATCGGGTAATAAAAAGAGAATTCGGACCTCCTGAGGCCAGAGCTCATTGGGCGTACGGTTACCACACCGTAGACATAATACATATAAAGCCAGATAGAACGAATGCAAAGACCCCAGATGCAGCGATATACTCAATTGACTGCGTAAGTTTCTTAATATAGGTGATATCCCTGCTGCTTGAACTAAACCGGGATACTGATATTGCTCAACTCCCAGATATCCGTTCATCAAAAAGCGGCATAGAGGGAATCCGGACACCCTCCCCTACAGAACAAACTGGACCAGAACCCTTCCCCAGCCTCCTATCCAACCGATTCGACAACGACCGCGCAGCCACAAACGCCATATCCGATTTCGTCCCCAGACACCACAACGCCGCGATGCAGAACTCGCAGTTCCGCCTTGCGTACTCGGACGGATCGTCCGGTCTATAGCCGTGCGATAGCGGCGTGATGTCGTCCAGAAGAATGTAAGCCGCCTTGGCGAAACAGCGAATAAGGACGAGCGTCCACGGCTCAGTCAGGAACGCAGCCTCGTTCACCGCGTCGTGGTAGAACCGGATCCGGTTCGCGAGGGACTCCCGGCCCTGCAGACTGCGTTGCGCGATGGCACCGACGGCCAGCGCGTTGTCCCGTCGGAGGGTCGCGACAAAGTCGATTGCGGTGCGCGCCTCGCGGCGGCTTTCCAGACCCAGTCGGCCCTCGTCGATGCCTTTGACAGTGTCGGCTAGCAGCATGGCTGCGAGGTGCCAGTGTCCTGCAACGATGACGTACCAGGACTGGATGCGCGGGGGGAGGTCGTCGTGGTTGGCGTTGCAGCTCTGGAAGAATTGCTTGTAGGTGGTGTTCCAGTGTTGGTAGATGCGGAGAGTCTTCTGGATGATTTCTTCGAGGCGCTCAGGACTCGCGCCGCGGTAGACGAGGGTCTGGAGGCGGGTGACCTGTCGGAAGAGCAGGACTTTGACGGGGCTTGCGTCGGAGAGGATCTCTGCGGCTTCTTCGTAGGAGCATGGCCAGCGCGGCGGGTTCGAGCCCTGGGGTGCGGCCCGTTTGTGGAGGAAGAAGTCGCCCCACAGGTCTTGTTTCTCCTTCAGGGCGCGGGTATATGTGATGTTCCAGCCGTCGAGGTCGACGCTGCTGTCGGTTTTTGCGTTGGATGGCGACACGGACGTTATCTGGCTGTCCTCGTCGGAGATGGCCAGCGGACGCTGATACATGGCGGCCTGCAGGGTATCGAACATGACCACCAGCCAGAAAAGAAGGTTGACGGTTTCCTGGTGCTCGGGGTCGGCGTAGAATGCGTCCGTCTGTGGAGAGGGTGTATCGGCCATGCTGGGTAGATCGATATTGCTCTGCTGCGGCGAACTTTGCGACTTTGGTTTCTGCCGCTCCAGGCGGGTCAGTTTATATCGGATGGAGAATAGCTGGCGCACAGCCGCCTCCATGAACAAGGGCGCGCTGTCATTCTCCAGCAGCTCGTGCAGCTCCATATCCTCGTCCACGTTGAGAGGACGCTGTCCGATGGAGAAAATGATGTTCGCAAACGCAATCCGGAAAGAAGGAATACCCGCTGCGTTCTCCAGAGCCCGACGCGCCTGGTTCCACAAGTTCTCCCGGATTACACGCTCGTGCTGCGCGACGGGCGAGGTCGGCGAAAAGCCATTGCTTCTCGGCATCTTCTGTGCCCACTGCGAGGCGAATGCCATAATCGCGGTGTGGAGAGCCCTCGATGCCAGTTTCTCTTCTGCGGCACTCAGATTTCGACCACGGACAGAAGCATACGCTCGATCTAGCCGACAGACTCGGGTACAGATCCGGTTCGTCCAGTTCGGTCCCCATGCCGCTTGCGCTTTACTAGAAAGTCCACTCGGTGAGGCGTATGGGACTGCCGTGTTGTAGGGACAGTTCTGCTCCGTGAGCCAGCAGGACAACGCATTCTCCATGCTGTCATGGTATATGCGGATGAGATTCTGTGTCATCATCGAGCGGGCATAGCTGTCGGAAATATTATCGGAAAGAACAAATAGATTATCTTTATTCCCAGACGGATATACACTGTCCGCTGAGAACGTTGGTAGACCGTCACCGCTGCTATCCGGTATCACAAAGCCAGGTGACGAGGAGTAATAAGAACCATTCAGTCCCGGGCTTGAATCATCAAATTGTTGAAGCAAATCGAGAGTCTCATCGAGAGAGTGCGGTCCCGAACTCGACAAGCTCTGCTGGTAGTAGTCAAAGCTCGAACAACTGTCCTCGGCTGAGCCCGACGTTTCCGCATTGCTCGACGGTACCTGAGCTGTGTTCGCGTTCCAAAGCATGATACTGAACGGGTCGAGCTCAGATTCCCTGCCTCTCAGCGGTATCGAGACAGCATTCGGCTGCATCGACCAACTCCCTGGCTGATCGACAGAACCACTCGACACCCCATTCCCGGGATTGTTGGATATCCACGACGAGGAGAATAGCATATCGTCCAGCAGGTCCGTCCCCGAGCGGCTTGAAATCACATCTCCCTCAGCTCTAGGCAAGTTGCTCGCATTACGACCTTTCTGCTTTCGAACCCCCCGCGCGGCGGCCCGGTTCTCGACTAACCAGTTGAACGTGCATTCTCGATTATATTTCCTGCAGTTCGAGCACGGGATATTGAGATTGCTCTCTGCTGGCACTCTTCGACTCCCCGCCTCCTCGCGTGCTGCTGATGCTCCCGATACAGATGAAGTTGAAGCGTGCCGGTCTCTGCGAGCGGGAGCATCGCAGGCCCTCTTCCCCTTCCGACATGGATCGCAGCTATGGTGTTGACGTCGACGGTGAGGCTCCATCGCGGCACTTGAAATCAACTGTCAAACGCTAATGATTTCCGGCATACAGCTTCGGCTATTGCCGGGCGATAACTATTGTGGAGAGAGAACTAAGAGATATTTGTTGGGGATAGGGTACGGGGGACCTCATGGTTAGGTGGGTTATGAAGCTTCGAGCCAAGAGGACAATGCGGGGTCTGGAGATTTGCGGACTTTAGTGTTAGGGAAGGAGTCCACGAGACTTGACTGGTCTATCGATGCCTAAATCTAGACGCACTAGATAGAGCCGTTGGATCAATGTGATGCTCTGGTTGGCGGTTGGATTGCGGTGGCTGTTGCTATGTCCACTTGGGGTTGGCGGGCGGAGATACCCCATGGGGAGTTGCCTTCGGGTCACCGGAGGTATAGAGTTCTAAACAAAGACTGACAGATGGACGGTAAATTGGCCAATCAGATGGAATACGCTCAATCCCTACGGCAGAGTCTAATCCTGAACCAGGTCACGGTAGACGGCAGACTCCACATCCAGCCAGAGACTCCAAACCTGAGGATCGGCAAAGGGCAAGAGCTGAGTACAGACCATCCCTGTGACCCCTTTCTCCCTATCGCACCACCACCACAGATTTGCCAGTCCTGCCCAGTGCGCCGTCCCTTCAGACCGTCCCGTTGGTCCTCCGGTCAGCATAAATGGGAGTCCCCACCCCTGAGGTGTCGGCGATGGGTACAGATGAGCTATTGCGTTAGTGAGATCAGGCTTCGAAGGTGGGATTCCTTGTGCCGCGAAATTGGGAAGATTGGGAATCTGGTTGCGGAACATCTCCTCGACAGTCGCTTTATCGAGGATTCGCTTGCCGGTGATGGGTGAGGTGCCGTCGTTTAGGAGTGTAGCAAGGATTTCTGCCAGTAGCAGCCTATCTGTATTTCCTCAGAATGACAGACATAGTACAAGACACACATACGACAGTACTCCTGTGGTTTAGCAAAACAACCCGCTCCACCACTATTGAAGCAGGTCTTGATGTCCTCAGAGGTCTGCACAGTCAGAGGCCGCCGAAACAGGTGCTCTCGGCCGGAGATATGGCCTTGAGGGTCTCTCTGATTCATGTGGATTAGCTTCTCTTTCATTGACGCCGGTGCAAACATTGAAATGTTATTCAGCCCGAGGGGCTTAAAGATGTTGCGGTGGAAATAGTCGTTCAACGGGAGCCCGGTGACTCGCTCCACCATGATCCCTGCCCAGTCGATGTTGACCTTAAACATAAACTAGCAAATGATCTGAGAAGTAGCTTTGCTAGCTGGACGAACGCACCCCATATTCCCATTTCTCCCCAGACTGATGAATCAATGGCTGCAGCATATCGTAGATGTGTCCTAGAACTCGTCGTAGCCAATCGGCTTGCTGTAGGCTCTCAACTTTTCATTAAAGAATGTATACCCAAACCCAGCTATGCCCCAGTCAGCGCTTGCTTTCACGAGGAAATTCCCACTCACAGTATGGTTCAACAGCATCCTCAAGGCGATTCCCTATGCTTCTTGACCAAACTCCCATCATCCTGCAACACCTTCACCTCTTTCAGCTCAGGGCATATCTTCTCAACCTGGTCGGAATAATAGCCGCTGTTCGACAAGCTGCATACCCGCGATTCCCGTGATCATCTTCGTGCACGATGCAATTTAGAATATACTGTCGAGCGTCATCGGCTCTTCAGAGCCATATCCACGCTTTCCACTCGCATGCGCAAAGTGCTCCTTGCCGTCCTTGCCGACGACTACCACCACTGCACCTGGGATACCCTTTTCCTGGTCTGCGCATGCTGCATCTACCCTCTCTTTGAGGGCTGTTACCGCTTGAGGAGAAAGAGATGCCATTTTCAGAAGATAGAACCCAGGTATGTGTGGCCAAATCCCGTCCTTGCTTAGCGATCGAACTGAATACAACGCGCGTCGTTACCCCTCATCATATAACAACCATACCTCGGTGGTCGGCATTGATCGTCCAACAAATTGTACTTTAAATCTAGTAAGTTGGTTAGAACAACGCCAGGTTGGAGTCAGGACTGGACCTGAAGTGTCTCCCACTGATTGCTACAGTGAACTCGGGGTTGCGGAACCGCACGCAGACACCTCGGTCAGAACTGCGATGGACACCGGCCAGAATACGTCTATCAGTGCGGATCTGCACAGATATGCATGCTAGTGACAATGTGATGGCGATTATCTGCCAATTGTTTGTGATGTGCTTTCTGCGTGCGGGGAAGTCGGGGAGAAGTGTATGTTCTGTGTCTAGGTACTAGCAGAAGTACCTTGCATGCTTGCTAGACAGAGGAGAACATGAGCGTTTACCTTTGAGCTTCGTGTTATTATTGCCTTATGCAGAACCCGTCAAGAGGGGAAAACAAGTCGAGTATGTTCATTGGTGATAGAAAAGCCTCGGTTGGGTTGAGGGTGATAATACGTGCTTCATGCAGTCAGTGTAACGGTCCAGTCTGAGAACCTGCTACATGGACTTACTTAGGTGATCCTTGTCCAGGTTTCAGCAAGAGGGGCTGGAGATGTTTGCCTGGATGGACATACAGTGACTCGTGAACTGTATAGGGCGCCTTGAGTTCACGAATACTTAAAGCAGGTTGAAATCGTCGGCTACACGTCATGTCCGTTACAGACCTCAATCAAAGAAATTGACTCAAGCTCAGCTTCAAACATGCACATCAGGAAAGAACTTAGCGAATATGTCTCCCGTCGAGGCACGACTGGACCCTACGCTGATAACCTCAACGTCGATGTCTTGATCGTGGGAGCCGGCTTCGGCGGCATCTACTGCCTTTATGAAATGCGGAAGCTGGGTCTCAAGACCGTCATATACGAGGCCGGCGACGACGTTGGCGGCACCTGGCGCTGGAACTGTTATCCAGGAGCCGCGGTGGACTCGGAAATTCCAGAGTACCAGTACTCCATTCCAGAGACCTGGAAGGGGTGGACCTGGTCGACGAACTACCCCAACTACGAGGAGCTGAGACGGTACTTTGACCATGTTGACCAGGTGCTCCAGGTAAAGAAGGACTGCGCCTTCAACAGCGTGGTGGTGGAGGCCCGGTTTAACACAGACGAGGGTCGCTGGCACGTCCAAACGGCCGATGGGAGAATGGCGTCCTCAAAGTACCTCATCATAGCCGCTGGTTTCTCTGCAAAGCGATACAGCCCCGAGTGGCCGGGAATGGATGAATTCCAGGGCATCGTCCACCACTCCTCCTTTTGGCCGGGCGAGTACACAATCGATGTCCGAGGGAAGCGCTGCGCGATTATCGGCACCGGCGCGTCAGGCGTCCAAGTCACGCAGGCCTGGGGCCCAAAGGCCGGCTCGCTCAAGGTCTTCCAGCGGACCCCCAACTTGGCCATTCCCATGCGGAAACGCTCCCTATCCGTCGAGGCTCAGCAAGAAGCCAAAGCACTATATCCAGAACTGTTCTCCCTCCGCGAGAAGGCCTTCGCGGGATTCTTGTATACATTCTCCGAAAAGAGTCTATGGGAAGACAACGAAGAAGAACGGGAAGCTCTTTTCGAGAGGTTATGGGCAGAAGGGGGCTTCCGCTTTTGGGTCGCCAGCTACCGCGATTACCTCTTCGACCCCAAAGCCAACCGCATCGTGTACGACTTCTGGTGCAAGAAAGTCCGCCAGCGCATCGGCGATCCCAAGGCCCGAGAGCTGCTCGCGCCCCGCGAGCTACCGCACTACTTCGGCGTCAAGCGACCTTGTCTTGAGGAAAATTACTTTGAGCAGTTCAACCGGGAGAATGTCGACGTCGTCGATATCAAGAATAACCCCATCGTGGCATTCACCGAGACCGGCATCAAGCTCGAAGATGGCTCCGTACACGAAGTCGATATCGTGTGCGTCGCTACCGGCTTCGACGTTACCACTGGAGGTATGACCAGCATGGGATTGACCAGCATCCATGGCACGACACTCAAGGACGAGTGGAAGGACGGCACGTACACGTATCTTGGCCTAACGGTCAGCGGATACCCCAATATGTTTCATCTGTATGGACCGCAAGGACCGACGCTGCTCAGCAATGGACCCACGACCGTGGAGGTCCAGGGCCGCTGGATAGCAGATGCGATCAAGCAGATTGAGCGGCAGGGGATCAAGTATATTGATCCTCTCCCGGAATCAGCTCGCGCTTGGAAGAAACGGATCAATGAACTTTCGGACATCTCGCTCTTGCCTACTACCAAGTCCACGTATATGGGTGGAAGCATCCCTGGGAAAGTGTTTGAGCAGGGAAATTATGCGGGCGGTATACCCCAGTATCTGGCGGAGATTCGCACCGCTCTCCCGAATTTTGAAGGGTTTAATATTGTTAAATATTAGGCAGACTGTTCTGCGTTTGGAGAGAGTCACTCAGTCATTTCTATTAGCTCCTAGTTACAAACGCTTGCTTCCATTCGAATCCGAAAGAACCAGACACCGGACCTTGCATTCCAACCAATATACATGCCGCAAATCCGTATAGATATAAGGAAATTTTGCCAAAGGGGAGAAAGGTAGAAAAAGTACATGAGTTGGGAAAAGCATAACCAGACATGACAAATCATCCTGATCAACTGCACACGGCCTCCGTCGCGTCAATCACTTCCTATCGCCCCAAAGCCCGACAATACCCATAGCAAGCGCAATTCCTGAGCACACAGCTCTAGCACACTGCAGCCGTCTCTCGCGAGCCATCTCCTCACGGACACTCTCGCCATTCACCGTCTCCTCCTCGGCCTCAACAACGACAAGATCCTCGTCCCTCTTGGCGGCATTTCTGCGACAGAAAGACATGCATCCAGAGTCCTGGATGAGACTCTGAGCCCAGGGCTTGAGGCCGAGTTCCCGGTGGAACCAAAAGTCCATTCCGTATGACCCGATGATGGACGCGACGCACATCCAGATAAGGTAAGGGTGTTTACGGTGCTTGGGGGAGACGGAGTATGCGAAGATGAGGCAGCCGTTGGCGATGTTTGTCAGGCGTAAACCATGTTTGCGATTGAGGCGCTTGACTTCGTTGAGAGATCGGAGAGCGTTGGCGGAGGTGGGGAGAAGGCTCAAGGAGGGGATTGTGACAGTGGAGGCGGAGTAGGATAGGCCCTGCGACGTTTCATTAGTCTCATTCATGTTATGGACGAGGAAGCTGTGAAGATAAATGCGAGTGCAAAATTAGGAGTGGTCCATTGTTGAGACTTACGGTGAGAATGCCCAAGGACACTGTTCCCACAAATTTAGTGACAGTGATGGGGCACGCCATTATGCTGGACGGCACGTTGATGAGAAAAGTAGTGATTCTCACACTCTCACAACAGATGTCGATTTTTGTTGGTATGGATGCAGACCATGCAACGCGTGACTTGATGCGGAAGAAGATGGATGATAATCATGAAGGTGGAGAAGCAGCCAAAAAGTGACGTCGGAATTATGGGCCGACCGTCCAATGGCAGGCCGCCAATTAGGTAGCTTGCTGTTCGTGCCTGACTGCCTGAGGCAGCAGCACATATATGCACCAAGTAGGTACTATTCATAGAGCAGTAATTAGAGACACTTGAAGGAGACTAATTGGCATGTTTGAGACATCTACTATGAGAGAGGTCTTGATCTGCCAATATCTACTCCGTGTGAAGTCCAAATGACATGTGACGGGCATATCTGTCAACAAAAGCGCCATAATCATACATAAAGCATGAAATCCAATCCAATCGACTACCTAGATCATAAGGGTATTACAGAGGTCATCGATATCCCGTTCTCTGACTACATCTGCTGCTGAACTGAGGTTGAGATAAACACAAATCATTAATTCGGACATTCCGAGGCTCCGACCGAACAGCCGCGGCATCTTGGCCACTGTGGGGTATGCCATACAGCTAGCTGGCCTGCACTAATGCACTAACATCTCGTTCAATTCATCTATCAGGGGTCTGAACACTGTTGATCTGTCAAGAGCTAGAATCTGATCACGATTTATTCGATAGAATACTGTCACCGCAGAAATGCCAGTTCCCACCGAAGAGTACATCAGCGACTCCTGGAAGGAGGGCCTCTTCAGTTAGTCCCCGTTGAACTCATAGCAACTAACCCGCTAACATAACGTCCAGCAAACAAAGTCGTCTTCTGCACAGGTGGTGCAGGCACCATCTGCAGTGCGCAGGTTCGCGCCCTCGTCCATCTAGGCGCGGACGCATGCATCGTCGGCCGAAACGTCGAGAAAACTGAAAAGGCAGCCAAGGACATTGCCACCGCTCGGCCAGGAGCCAAGGTCATCGGCATTGGCGCAGTTGATGTCCGCAAGTACGATGATCTGAAGGATGCCGTCGATCGCTGCGTCAAGGAGCTCGGGGCTATCGACTTTGTCATGTAGGCTGCCCCCGTCGAGTTCGATGCACTTTTGCTAACAGGGGGTTTAGTGCCGGAGCAGCTGGCAACTTCCTGGCTTCTATCCAGCAGCTGTCGGTCAATGCTTTCAAGTCGGTAATTGATATCGATGTGCTGGGATCGTACAACACCCTCAAAGCGACGATTCCTCACCTCGTCGAATCCGCGAAGAAGCACAGGGTTGACTCGGAGACTCGTACGTTATCTCATTTCCAGCTTGGATCGTATCTGACCGTTTCATAGTGCGGCCCTCGCCGCTCGGCACCGGTGGACGCATCATCTTCGTCAGCGCCACGATCCACTACCGCGCAATGCCCTTCCAGGCACATGTGGCCGTCGCCAAAGCCGGCATCGACGCCTTGTCTCACACCGTGTCCATCGAGTATGGTCCGCTCGGGGTGACGTCGAATATCATCGCTCCGGGACCAATCGCTTCTACAGAGGTACATGGCCTTCATCTAGGGTAACAGATTGTGTATCTAACATTTATAGGGTCTCGACCGCCTCCTGCCCTCTGACATTAAAGAATTATACACCAAATCCCAACCTCTGGGCCGTTTCGGCTCCGTCCGCGATATTGCCGATGCGACGGTCTACCTCTTCTCAAATACCGGTAGTTATGTTTCTGGCCAGATCCTCGTCGGTAAGTGATCTTCTGTGCGAATCAAAATCTAGACCCTCAGGCTGATGCGCGTAGTTGATGGTGCGAGTTGGCGCATGTCGTCTGGAGGTGCGGCGTACGGGCAGCTGCAGTATCCGGATTTCCTGCTCACCGGGGACGCAGTTCAGAACGTCAAAGGGCAGAAGAAATCGAAGCTCTGATTCGGTCATAGTTCTGAAAGAATGCTTTTCTCTTTGTTGGACACGTATAGATTAGTTGCCGCCTGCTCTACAGTATTATTATAAGACATGCTACGCTTTGCTCCGGGATTATATGATAAAATGTGGGAGAAGTGTGAACATATCAACCAAGACATGTTCACGTAAGGTAGCAACCTCGCAGACACCTGATCCGATGGATGCCGATTGACCGGATGACGTCCTGGACCAATCAAATACTGCTGGTACAGGTGTCTAAGACAATGCCTTTGTGCTGTTCAATGTCCCAATTGTTCAGGCTGTCTTCCGCCATGCCAACATTGAACAAAGAACAATGACTTGAGCAGAGACATTCTATACACTCAACCCACCCTTCTGAGACCTGCTACTTGAGGCTGAATATGTGATGTCTTCAACTCGCTATCACCACCCCTCGGCCAGATGGCGTGTTCGAGGTGAGTGAAACATTGTAGATAACTAGCTGTATATAAGAACCTGAGCCTATCCTTGACCGCAACTTCGACTCTACTTTGAATTTTCCCACTTCGGCTAATCCCCCTCCAAATTGCAATACAACCTTTGTCTACACATCTATATGCACTTTTGTTATACTGAAGACACCCATTAGTCACCAACCATGGACCCCCTCGATCAACTCACCGATTTCGGATTCCTCCTGGAACAGGTAAGACATGTCAAGAATGACAGGAATGTCTCGATTAGGGACCAAGCTGAGTATTTTCACAAAACTTTAGTCGACCAGATTGAATCCTTGTCCGAAATCGAAAAGAAACATTTGTACAGATACCTCAAGCTCAGCCGCGATAATGAAGAACTCCAGGCTTCCTACGATGAGCTGAACGAGTCCCTCAGCCAGGAACTGCGCAAAGTCGAGCGCAAGAATGCAGAGCTGCAGGACGCCAAAGCTGCTCTGAGAGAGGCACAGAAAGACTGCGCGGCCAAGGAGGAGTACATCCGCGACGCCGAGGCAGCGAATGCTGCGCTCAAGGAGAAGAACGAAGAGCAGAGAAGTCTGATCAAATCGTACAAACAGGATTGGAAAGCTATGAAAGATGAGATGGAGCTCCGTGACAGGACAATCGACGATCTGCAGACGAGCTTGCGGAGCAAGGGCGCCCTTGTCGATAAATATGAGCGCGAAATCGAGCAATATCGGAAGCAGCGCAAAGAATGGGAACGGCAAGTGGATGAAGCCACTCAATACCTGGATGACAAGAGCGAGGTCTTGAAATGGCTCAATGAAGTGAGCAGGCCTTTGAAAGGCAATCCAAAAGCATCAGATTCTGGAGCGTCAAGTTCAGGATCATCTAGTTCTGAAGCGTCAAGCTCTGTCATACGTAAGGTGTCAGACTCTGTAGTGGGATCAACAACAGATGACGGAGAAGATGACGAGACACATTGCACTACAGATTCCGGGAAGGAGGGTAAAGCAACTTCTGCGACAGGTTCGTCTCGAGACCGGCGACTGGACATGCAAGGAAGTGCAATGGACTGTTCAAGTGAGGCGATCAGCGTGGACGAATCAAAGTCAATACATGGTACTACCCTTGACGAGGAAATGATGTACTTGTCTGACAGTCTATCAGCTCTGTCCATCGAACGGGAGGCATCTCCAACGGAATGCAATATGACCGATTGTCACGAGATACCATCTCCAGCAAGCTCGTATGACTTGGATCTTCCGCCGCAACGACGAAAGCGACGAAAGCAACGCACAAAAGAAGTTGAGGACACTGAGTTGGCACGCAAGAGAACCAAGGTCCGCAAACATTGTGAGAGTCCCGTTCAAACTGATAGTGGAGAAAGTGCCTCATTTGATGATCAAGATGGCAAACAGGGATCGGCCGAATACTGTGCAAGTCCCATTCAAACGGACAGCGAGGCAAATTCTTCATTCAATTTTGGAGCAAGCGACCAGGGATCTCAGATTCCATGTCCGATAGACTGCATGGATACCGCAGAAACACTTTCTACAATTTCACGGGGAGTTCAAACTGTTGCCTACCAAATGGACGGGCCGGTAACAATCCCGTCAATAGAGTCTCCGGAAGCATCAAGACGATCACAGTCCCTACTTTTGAACGGAAGAAGAGGGCGCTATAGGGATCCTGTATACCTTCCAAAATCATATGCCAAATCCCAACGGCTGACACACCAAGCTGGAGAGCTTGGTGTGAGTAGGCCAAGATATGTCAGCGTGACTCGGCCTGTGCTCAAGAGCAGAGTTGCATCTTGGCCTCTTAATCAAGCCGAGCAACAGAGCTCTGAACAAGACGAGCTTCAGCAGGAGAACATAGAAACCCTGTCAGTGTCACTGTCTTCGAACCATGGGAGCGAGTCTCTGGAAGCTGAAGCTGACGCTGATCCCGTACTGAAAACAGTTTCACATAAACCTCACATCGCCATGGGAGGAAAGTGGTGGCTGCCCTTTGTGACTGTGCTGGTCCTGTTGCTGTCCATACTCCTCGTACGCTCTCCCGACGGAGAGCGTCGATCGTGGAATAGAGTCAATATGATGCCCCACGATCCCCTGACAAAATTGCGCAAATGTCCAGACTCGCGATGTAAAGTGGCGCGGGCGGCTGAGTGGGAGATTGTTCGAAGGACGGATTCTGATTTCTTATCTTTTGGATGACCAGCCTCTATATTTCTTGGGCAACATATTTAAGGAGCTTTGGGCGTTTGGGACTAGGTTCTTTTATTGGGACATTCTTCTGTCGGTAGGTCTTTATATATTGATTGTCAAACTCAGCCAAGTCCACGCAAATCACGTCTTTGCCAGCCCTATGAGTTTGTGAAGCAATAAGTGGTCACAGCGTAGATTGATTCACTCTAGTCCACTTTTAGACACCAGGTGTTTCAGGCATCAACTACATGTGACTGAAGAAAGAGTCGTAAGCATCTGACCCAAACAGGACTAGCTGTATCATGTTGCGTCACCTGCCTCCGCCCTCCGCCACCGCAGCGAATTAAAAGCAGCGGACAATAGGCAACTGTATCGACTTCACTTTAGCCTCCCCTCCTGACAAGAATAAGCATCAGTGATCATCTTCTTCACCCTAAACACTCGGATCAGCCATTGTTTTCATCAGATATCTAACTCTTGACACCTTCCTTTTATTCTGACTCTCTTCTTTTGTAACTTTTACCTCATGTGTGCTTTTTAAAACTCGTTGCCGACACAATGAACCTTCGTTCGCTCCTCCTCGGCAGCGCTGTCGCCCTGGGCGCCAATGCATTTCTAGTCGTCCCCGAGATAGATGGTGATGCTGTCGCTCCACAGGGTGATTTTACTGGCCTCCATCCCTTGGAAGCCTTTACTGCTCAGCAACAGCAGGTCAAGCTCGTTTGCAGGGAGTGCCCGTTCCGCGAAGTCAATGAGAATGGAGATGTCAGCTGGACTGACGGCTTCCTCACTTCTCTGGTGAGTCCGGCTTTCCGTTCTGTTGCAATTTATTGTTTTCCAAACGTATCGCTAATTGCTGTAGGCATTGAACTTCTCTATCGAAGATGGTGCTTTGCTGGTCAATGGTCATCAGATCTTCCCACCTCCTCCCCCATCCGTCATCACTGCCGTTCAGCGCCGGGAACCTGACGGAGCAGAGTCCGACCCCATCTCATTGGGATACGCTGTAGAGTTCATGCCTCTTGGTGTGCCAAATGACGCTCCTATGGAGCTCTCAGCTGTTCGATTCACTGTCCTCGATCTGGACGGCCATCCCGTACCACTCGATACCGTTGCCATCACCATCATCAATGACTTCAAGGGTAACATCTACATGGCGAAGACCGACTTCGAAGATACGGCTCCGAACCGCCTCTCGTGGAAACAGTGCCGTGGAAAGCCCAAGTGTCTGCGCAAGCTTCTGGTTGAACGCATCCGCGGATTGTTTTCCGCCGCAAAGGCGCGTGTCCTTGGAATGAGGCCTAACTCTTTTGGTTGTGGCGGTCGTCCTCGTCCTATGCTACACCCCTACCGCCCAGAGGGCGATTCTGATCACGATATCGTACCTGGACGCCGCCCTCACCCAGGAGATGAGGGTCCCTTCGGATTTGACGGTCGCCCTCATCACCACCATCACATGCACCATATGCATCATGGTGGTTGGGAACGCACCGTTTCCCGCATCGTTCGTTTCATTGTTGTTCCCGCAGTTCTCGGTGTTCTTGCCGGGTTGGCCGCCAGCGCTCTCGGTATGTTGGCCGGCCAGATTGTGGTCTTCCTGTGGCAACGGCGCCGTCGCTCCACTCCCACAGAAAATGTGGAGCAAGGAACTGTGTCGGAGAAGCAGGGCCTGATGACTTCGGCCTCCGAGGAGCTTCCTCCTGCTTACAGTGATGATGAAACTGTCGAGGTGTCCGACACCAAGCAGTAAACAGTCGTGTGCAACAATTCGGATTGGTTGATAGGACACGTGAGACAGCAGTTCTGTGCCAATTGAAGAGGATGGCTTGGTGGAGCTTAGGCCTATTGAGTTATTGGACGACTCATTTATCATGTTGAATTTGCCTATTCTGCGACCTTTTTTCCACATTCCCTCAGTATTTTCTGTTTGTCTCACACTCGTCGCCTTTCCATTTGCTTACCATTACATTACGTTGCTTTGAGTCTCTATAGTGCATTAGCAAGCTTTCTTACCACTAGTTAGTAGTGAGCAGCAGCAAGGCAATGGTCTTTTTTGTCGGTAGTACTCCGTAGCAGATCTAATCCATCTTGTTTTGGCCTTTCGAGACGAGAAATTACAATTTGATTCCAATGTTATCATAATACTAGCTACTACTATCATCTAACGTTTACTAGGAAAACAATCGACGAGGACTAGTGGTGCTCATGTCTCACTCAAAGCTACAGTCACGTGAGTCATCGCGGATGCCTGCCAGGAACACCGTCCGTCTTGCAGCATTCCCCTCTTCCGGGCAACAACAACAACATCAGCGTCGGACTTAGGAATTCGTCGCAACTTTTCGTCTGTATTCGAGCATGCTTCGCCTGTTTCTACGATGATCCACACTTGCTATACGATCCAGTGTGGATTTTCATCCAAATTCCCTACCCGAGTCTGACTGCCGTCTGAGCTTCGATAGCTGTCAGCTCGCGCCGGACCTGGCTCCCAGCATCCCGCACCTGTGGTCAGCGGGAGGATTTGAATCAGCATCCTATTATTTTTGACCTTCATCCTCTCAATAACTCTGTGCACACCATGATGCAGTGGTCGTCATTCGTTCAGAAAGCCCAGTCTTTCATCGACCCGGCCAATTTCAACCTTCCGACTCTGACATCCTCCGATCGCAACCCTTCCAAAGCGTCCCTCTTCCGTCAACAGTTCCGTCTCCCTGACTCCCAAAACCCATTGCAGGAAATAACCGCCGAGTTAATCCTTCCTATCCCGCATACCTCCCCGTCTGCTACGTCTCAAGGCGATCAGTTTCGGCCTCTTGACCGCGCAGGCAATCGGTATGCCGGGAAACTCCATCTGAGCGAACGCTTTCTCTGCTTCTCCACACAGCCGACTAGCTTCGCACCGTCCTCGACACTCAGTGCCTCTACGCACTGGACCGGTCAGACGAATGGCACCGGGCCTTCTGGCAATGGTTTCACCCTTCCGCTCTCCTGTATCCGGCGGGTGGAAAGGCTGAATAGTCTCAGTCACGTCTTCTCGCTCGCGTTGACTACGTGGAATGGCGCTCTGGGAAAGCAGCAAGCTCCAAATTTTGTTCCGCAGAAATTCACCATCCAGCTGGTGGGGAGCAGGCAGGCCTGCGAACGGTTTTGTGATGGCTTAAAGAAGGGACTGCGGGAAGCGATGAAGGAGATTGAGAATCTACGGGTGGTTGTAAATGACTGTTACTCGGAATACTTGCTTTCCGGGGCCAAACCTAAAGACCAGAATCCAGATAATGCTGAAGCGCGCCAACCGCCAGATGCCGGACTGGGGATGATCTTCCGTTATCCTGGTGATGCTCGCAAACTGCGTGACCGCAGCAAGATGAGACTATGGGGGGAATACTTCAGAGGTATGGAACATTGCAATGGATAGAGAGCGTTCATTAAGATGTCTTGCGATCTAGAAAATGGCCGAAACGCAACCTTGGTTCGGCAGCCGACCTTTCATAAGCTGATTCGCGTCGGTCTACCAAATCGGCTGCGTGGAGAGATATGGGAGGTGACGTCTGGGTCTTTGTACCTTCGTCTGAGGTCTCCCAAGCTATACACAGAGACTCTGGCCAAATTTTCAGGCCAGGAGTCCTTGGCAATCGACGAGATTGAGAAGGACCTGAACCGGAGTCTCCCCGAGTACCCCGGCTTCCAAAGTGAAGAGGGCATTGGCCGGCTGCGAAGAGTCCTTACAGCTTACAGTTGGACTAATGCGGAGATTGGATATTGCCAGGCTATGAATATTGTTGTGGCAGCTCTGTTGATGTATGCAAGCCCCTACCCTGCTTACCACCCGCTGCTGACCCGCGCAGATATATGTCAGAGACGCAAGCATATTTCCTGTTGTCCGTACTGTGCGATCGCCTTTTGCCAGGGTACTATTCCACAACCATGTACGGCACCCTGCTGGATCAGAAGGTGTTCGAGTCATTGGTAGAAAAAACCATGCCGGTATTGTGGGACCACCTTTCCAAGTCTGATGTTCAGCTGTCCGTCGTTTCGCTTCCTTGGTTTCTCTCGCTATACATCAACTCTATGCCATTGGTCTTTGCATTCCGGGTGTTGGATGTGTTTTTCTTAGAAGGCCCAAAGGTACTCTTTCAGGTCGGCCTCGCCATCCTCCGCATCAACGGCGAAGAGCTCCTGGATGTCCAAGACGACGGCTCTTTTATTTCAGTCCTCAAATCTTACTTCTCGCGCTTGGATGAGTCGGCACATCCAAGATCGGAGAATCCAAAGCTGAGAGCCATCACGCGTTTCCAAGAGTTGATGGTTGTTGCTTTCAAAGAATTCTCCGGCATCACACATAGCACCATCACTGAACAGCGTGAGAAGCACAAGGACGCGGTCCTCGAGAATATCGAGAGTTTTGCTAAACGCACATCTATTCGGAACCTTGGCCCAGACAGCAAACGCCTCAGCATGGATGATCTGGGTCTGATCTATGACCGATTCTACGAAGTGCTGTATGACCGCCAGCAGAGGCAAAGGCTTATCGACGAGGAAAAGAAGCGTCAGGAGAAGAAAAAGGCCGAACGAGCTTCAGTACTCGGCCCTCCGGTGGACCGAGAGGTGGGCCGGGTCGGCCTTGGACCCAGCCCAACTCATATGGACTACGACGCTTTCCGCGATTTCCTCGCTGTTACAGCGAAATGGGCTGTTGCCGATTCTCCCGGGCCGTCGCGAAAGGAGTCATCGGTCGATATGAATGGCAGCTTTAGAGGCTTCGGGAAATGGGCATCTGTCATGACTAATAAGCCTGAACCTGCAGACCACAAATTCATGCAAAGGCTTTTCCGCAAATGGGCCACGGATCCATCGGAAGGCCTAAGCTTGCAAAACGTGGTTAATGGCCTCGCACGGCTGAAGGGCACTCGGGACATCATGAATAGCATTAACTACTTTTTCGATCTGTATGACGACAATGGCGATGGAAAGGTCGACCGGGAAGGCATACTTCGGATGTCAGAAGCGTTGCTCTTCCTTTCTCGCCGAGGTTTTGAGGGTACCATCACCCCGAGTCAGTCTCTGGAAGATTTGAATGACCGAGAACGGGATAAGCTGAGCACCGATGAAAGATTCCTGGGTAGCGTCAGCTCGTTCATCCGCCGATGTTTCGAGTATGCTGATCCTAGCAACCCCGAGGGGAAGACGACCGAACCCGCCAACGACATGGAGGAGGCAGCTGACAAAATGGGCTCATTTGCTATTGGAGATGACGACGACGAGGATCTCATCGACATGGAAGACAATAACAAACCCAAGGAAACTGCAACACCGCAAGCACCAGCTAACGAACATGATGCGGATGCCAACACGGAGCATAGTCGCAAGACATCAGAAGCTGCCAATCCGGCGCTTGACCCCAACAATCCCCTTCATATCACCCTCCCCACTTTCCGAATGGTCATTCTGGCTGATGAGCTGCTGGAGCAATTCTTTGAAACCTTCTTTCCCCAGTCATTCCATCTCTCCGATCATCCCCACCCTGTATCAACAACCACATCCCTTTCGTCGAATCTCACCACGTTCTCAAACATCGGCGCCGCTAAACCCGCCGTCAGCGCCGCATCAGGTGCACCAGTTGGCGGGGCGTCCGGCGGCATCGTCCCGCCAGGCAAAGGTCTCCGCGGGGTCCTGGACAACATCGTCTCCGACGGCATCCGAATGGCCGCCGAAGTCAAGAAGCGAATGGACGAGGCTCAACGGGAACTGGAGCGCAATGCTCTCAGCCGAGAAGAGGACGACGAAGACGAGGAGGACGATTTCGATCCCCGCACCGGCGCCGCTTCGGCCGTCATGGTCGGAGGAATATCTAGCTGGGGCGCTGGGGCATACGGTGCCGACCCTGAGCGCCGCAGCGTCCGCGACGCAGACCGTGACCTGCTCGAGGGAGCCGAAGTACTCAGTGTCCGTGAGAAGGATACCGCCTCGCTCATCGATGGCAAAGAGGGACACCGGGGCTCAGGCGAAGGTAGCAGCGGTCATGCCTCGCAGGCAGACGCATCAGCACGCCGGACATCAGATCCCGAACATGATGACCGCGTCGTTAGTAAAGTCGTCGAATTCGACTCATAGTATTGGTATTGGTCTTTGTGCTTTAGCATTCGTCATGGAGGTCAACTTCGGATCCGGTGGTTTTTGGGCGATATCGATGTTCACGTCGTTATGTTTGGTTGTGTATATTGCATATCCGGTAGGCATTATGGGGTTCCAAGATCTGAATTCAGTTATGGTTGCATGCTTCGTATATATTCTTCGAGCCTGGGCGTAGTCTTACAAAACTAGGGAGTTGCAGTCCTGTACGAAAAGGCTAGTCCTTGAACAAACATGGAATAGATCAATGCTTCTATCACATTGCATGTTGAATCTGAATCGGAGGTATGCACATCAATAAATAGACTGGTATCAACATCGTTAATCATGAGAGGTATATGATGTCAGTCATGAGCAGACAGAGGGTATAATAAGGACATTAAAGAGTCAATGGTGCGTGAGCTTATCAGCATCAGGTGAATTATGAATCGGTAGACAGAAAGAAGTAGTGACGAGAGTGTAGGAAGGAGAAAAACCAAAGATGCAGAGACAGAGCGGTTACTGTTACTCCTTCTGTCCCTCGTTCTCAATCAGCTCGAGCACGAGCTGACTCCGCTCGTATTCGGGATGCTGCATGCAGATTTTGACGGTCCGGCCATTGCTGGCCATCGCGACGCCGTTGGA